TATAAGATTAATATATAATAATTTTTAATATAATGGCTAGCTGATCTACGTAAAACTGGACACGAGCTTCCAGTCAGATGAGTCAAACGGCGTGGCTGAGCAGCCATGACCAGCACGCGATTAAATAGAGTGGAACCCCCGTAAGCAGGACTGAATAATTGAAAATCAGACATCGCCAAGAATAAAGCCATCGTACATGGCATGGATACCTTTGAAGGCATCGGTGACGAGCTAGAGGCTCTTTTGTCGCAGCATTTCCAAGTCGTCGCGACCCACTCCCAGCGTCAAGACCAATGGTACAAGCGATCTTATCAATCCTTTACAGCAGAACATGGCAACCGTGAACCACTTATCATTGTGCCACGCGAATCCCGGGAGGAATGGGTTCCCTACGTACGACGCTTCGCAAGAACTCTGGCTACTCGGGTGATAGCTGCGGGCGAAGCTCAGACTTCACAACCGAGAGATATTACCTCAGACACAAAGCTTTTCTCAGACACAGTTTTTGATGCGATTCATACCGAACCTCTCAGTCGAGCTGTAAGAGGGAGAGAACAGCTGCGAGCAGTTGCAATGCAAATTGCGCGGTGGACTTCAACGAACTCATATGTTTTCAGCGGCACTGAACGGATCACGTCCATCAAAGGACTTATCGCATGCGGTGAGGTCGGCGTATTGCTACGCTTGGCAACGCTGCCGCAGACACATCCACCGGAAGAACGTGAGATAGACCCTTCGCGGTGGAGACACCTGAACAGAGACTGGCAAGATGTCATCGATTCAATCCTCTCTATCATGCTCTTCTTGGGGGCACTGAAGTCGTTCCCTGAGGAACTTCTCACTCATGACGGTTACAAGTACTGGGTCCCCATAGCGTTCAGCAATTATCTTTCACGCTTCCAGCCATATATCGCAGCCCATGGCGACAAAATGCCAAGAACGGCTGATGCAATAAGGAAAGAGATATCCCAATGCACCAAAGCCTTGGTTGCGGCACAAGTATTCTCTTCTAAGGCTGGTTTCGACCCTATCCAGTGGGAAGACCGCATCACGGATAATCTTCTGTACATTCTGGGATTTGAGGCTTGGAATCGAAGCAGAGAAGGGGCCGGCTATCTGAACTGCGATCTAAATGTCACCAAGACTGCAAAGTCACTACGTGCTTCGCGTCATGTAGGAGATGAGGATGGCTCTGAAGAAGAGGCTGTACAAAGCAAGGAGGTTGCTCCAAAGCACAAGGACCCTCTTAAGTTGAGGGAGCCAAAGAAGGAGATGATTTCTGAGTCGAGTGAGGGGGAGCAAGAGGGAATTGAGAAACTTGCTGCTCTGGAGGCTATGGAGAACGAATATGGGCGGAAAAGAAGTGCGAAGTACATGCCGAAACATAAGCATGATTGACAGGTTAGCGCATTCAAGATATATACAATTCCGAATAGCCGATTGCCATGATGCGGCTTTTCGTGCCGAGCTTCGACAAATGGTGTTAAGAGACCGACCATATGCTATTAACTGGCGAGGTTACCTGGCAGATTTCCACCACAATCGAGGATATGTCAAGTACGCCCTTGCAGAGGCGGGGTCCTCCATCGTCCGCTGTGCAATAAATATCTCTTTTCTGTTACCACTAATTAAATATTTTCTCTCCCCTCCACCCAAACATCCGGTCGCCGCCACATTATCAGAATAAATTCGTCAATATGAGCGTCTCCACTGATGATAACTGGCAACCCAAAGCCATAGTCTTCGATCTTCTCACCGGCCTCCTAAACTCATGGGATCTATGGGACGCATCAACCCCGTCCAAAACCCACCAAGACGGCGGCCGCTGGCGTCGACGCTATCTCGAAATCACCTTTGGCACTGGCTCCTACAAGCCCTATGAAGACCTCGTCAGACAAGCCGCCGCTGAAGTCGGTCTCCCGCCATCAGCGCCCGAAGCGCTCCTCAAGAACTGGTCCAGCATTAAAGCTTGGGATGAAGTTCCCTCTGTTCTCCAAGGTTTAAGAGCGCAGGGCTATAAACTTGGCGTTATTACCAATTGCTCTAAGCACTCGGGATACATGGCTATTCGCGGTGTTGAGGAGCAGGCTAGTGCTGGGTTTGAGACGCCGTTTACTTTTGACGCTGCTGTAACTGCTGAGGAGAGTGGGTTTTACAAACCTGTTAAGGAAGCATATCACGCTATCCTGCCTAAGCTAGGGGTGGATGCTGAGGATATTCTGTTCGTTGCTGGAAGTGCAGGGGATGTTGAGGGTGCGACGAATGCGGGGATGAAGGTTGTTTGGCATAATAAGATTGGGTTGACGAAGAAGGGAAGTTCAGTTCCATTGAGGGAAAGCAGTACGTTGGATGATGCTTTGAAGGGATATTTGAAGGAGCGTGAGTAGTAACTACAGATGTGTTATTTACAGTTGAGGCTCGTGGCTGAGAGCTTAAATCAGCAGACAGAACTTAGAGTAGTAACTACTTGCATATATCCAAGCTTTCTCGCGTAGAGTTAGAAAATAACCGCTGTCTTGTGGCCTAGAACTCCCCAGGCTATAATTTATTTAGACTCCTGGGTTAAGCATATTTCTTTCTACTTATCCATAATCTAGGTCACTTTCATCTTTGGAGTCATTTCTCCGAGTAATCTCTTAGTTGATTCGGCTGGGATACATTTTAGTCATGCTCGCCACTGCGCTTGTCCACTCAGGGCACAGCTAGGTGGAGTCTCATCAATAGCGTTGTCAATAGTGTACTTTAATATTCACTAGTTCATCCCTAAAGCTCCTCCACCAAATAAGATGGCGCTGGCCCTCCTATTTTGGCATAAATTAAAAAAGAACATCAGCCGTCCTCAGCCCTCCCGAGAATTTTCTTCTTCTTTCCACTCCATTCTTGTCCTTCGTTAGCTTGGTTTTAGCCATATCATTTCTTCCTTGCCTGATAGATCCTGCCATTCGTTGCCCAGTCCATTCTCTTCAATGCGCTATAACGTTTTGGTCTCGTTGGCCTTTGCCGTGGCCGCAGCAGCAGGTCCATGCAAGCCAAGTGCTTCTAGTAGGTTTTGCGAAGGCAATGCCTTATGAGAAACCGCCTGCTAACATCAGCGAATCAGCGACCGTCGGCTCATCCACTTCACAAGAAGCTTCTGAGACTGCTACTGACTCGTTAACTTCATTACGACCTTCTGAGACATCCACGCTGTCTGCGACTTTGTCAGCCGACTCTAGCTCTCTTCAGCCGACGAGCCTCTCTGTCACAGAATCGGCATCTACCACAACTGATGCAGCCACCTCATCCACCATTGCTCCTACTTCTACCTCATCTCCAATCCTTGGAACCTTCAACGCAATCGGCCAAGGCGGCGGTGCAAGCAACACACCTGCCAGACTCCCCCCACCACAGTACGGCTCCATAACGTTGGGCGGATACAACCCTTCGGATGTAGGACCAGGCGTATTTTCCATCGAGGCAGGCACCGGGGCCCTTTTTGTCGACGGCTCCAAGATATGTGGCTTCTACGGCGGCGGACAGTCTGCTTCGGTCTATGTTTGCAATGCCACGCCCCGGACAAATGAGGCGCCCATCACCTGCGAGCAGGGACAGACAGATGGAGGTGCTCTGAAATGCAGTGCACCAATAATGAATTGCATCGAAGACAATAACGATGATAATGATCCCGTTTGCTATGCCACTGGGGGTGTTTGGACACAATTTATGGGATTCCAGTTGCTGGGCAATTATTACCTTCTTAGTATAGGTTCTCAGGCTGCAGCTACTGGATCAAATGTTCCTATCAGCCTTATTATCCAAGCTCTTTAGGACGGCGTATACTAAAGAAATATTATGGAAGCAATTAGCTATAGATTATATGATAATTTTCAAAACTAGCATGATTAAAAGAAAACAAGGAAGAGAAGTTATTAGGGAAAAGAAAGAAAGTCCCAGCCATGTTATTAATCCTTCTTCTTGAAAATAGCACGCAAAAATGTTTGGCTCTTCCGGAGTGGCACCCCCGATTCCAGAAAGCTACTTCTTTGGTGACATGCCTCCTCGATGCAAGACTGATCTTTACACCACAGCTCAGAGGTGCTTTTTTGGATCCATCTCTGTAAATTGTCATCTGGTGTGATATCATTAGGATGTTGATTACTTGTCAGCACTTCAAGAATCGATGCAATGCGCGCATACTTGTCCCAATTAATAATCCTTTCCGAATCTTCAGACCCCTTCCCTTCTTTAGGTGTCACATCTTTATACCGCCCGTTAGTGAAAAAGAGCTCGCTCAAATATGAGCGGAGAACGGGGAGACATGGACCCGAGGAGGCGACGGTCAAGGCTTGGAGTTTCTTGCGATTACCCGAAGGGTCAACGATCACCCGCAAACAGCGGAGTGATTCCTTGACCGGCAGTGATACTGCATTCCATGAGGCCCTGAGCCTAGCCACAGCATGATCATCTAAGCCAGAAGTAACAGCAACAAGTCCGTCAAAGTTGTTTAACTGGAAGAGATGCTGAGCAACAAGAATCCATTTCCCTCTTATAGCGCCGCGATTCTTGGGGTCGAGGTCGGTAAGGATACTGTGCTTGACCCAATTGGAGAGCCCGTCGCTGAGCTGCATCATAGATGCTACGTGAGGAGCACTTGACTTGTTTAGCATCCACCTTTCGGCAAGAAGCTCCTTCCTCTGAATAGAGCAGAATATTCTCATCTGCTTGACGGTAATCTGACATGCTAGATGCTTATGACACATGTCAAGGATGGAAAACTGGTCGTTTCGGTCGTTAAAGAAGCTGTTTGCTGTCTTTAGTGTGACCAGATTTGCATGCTGACATGTGTTTTTGTTCTCATCGGCGGGTAAGGAATCGTCGTGTGTTTTGTCCGTTTCTAGGGTGGGGAGGTCCTTAATAAGGTGTAGCAAGAATGCGGAGTACATGGGTAGTGCGATATGTATTCGCTGTATGATAAAGTTCTCAAGGGATGTAAGGATACGTTGATCTGTGGCAGGGTTCCAATTGGATTCTAGCCACACTCTAAGAGCATGGCATACTCCAAGATGGATATGTCCTTGCTTAGATGCCTTGGCATAGTCAGCGGCATTGAAGCGCCTGATGAAAGGAGACAGTATCTCCTCTGGAGTACAAAAGAGTTCGGACGTCGCAAAGAATGCCGAGACGAACTGATCTCTGTTTGCCCTTGGTTCACAGTCTGTGAGGCACTTCACCAAAGTAGACAATTAACAGCTTGAAATCTCTGTCCTCACAACGAGCGAGCGATCGGGGACCAAGCCATCGTCTTGCAAAATTGAAGACTGTATGTTGACGCTGTGACGAGCCATGTTGGCTAAAATCCCAGATATCTGAGGTACTTGTGGGGACTGGTAGCTCTATTATATCTTCTGGCCTTGTATAAATACTAAGCTTAATTATACTTTTTAAGAATTTCTAACTATTTTAAAGTACTATAAAGTGTACTTTTTAAAACTATAAGGTATAATATCTAGTTTGCTTATATATTTAATTTACTTATTATATATTTTATATATAAAACTTAAAAATAGCTTAAGTAATATTAAAAGTAACTAATACTGATTTATGTATATA